ATTAGGAATTCAAATCGATAACAAACTATTTGGGAAGTAATTTGGCAATGTGTTTCCAGAGCTTTAAAAATGTTCATACCATTTGACTCTTGAGAAACTGCCCCAAGAAAATAGTCCTTTAATAAATCCATGCTCAAAAATTCTAAGTTATTTATATAGTATTTTATTCCTTCACTTATTATAGCAAGGAATTTGAGGTAATTTAAATGTCTGATCAAAGGAGAATGGGTAAATATGGGTAAAGAATATGGGTAAAGAATGGGTAAAAAAAACTCAGAGGAATAGTATCACTCAAGATACTTTGAAGGATGTTAAGAGAAATATATAAGGGAAAACAGTACAAAGAGCACAGTATTAGATTTCATATGTATTTTTAAATATGCTCAGAGGGCTTTCAAGGTAGCTCAAACTACCTGTAAAGATATGCTGGGCAAGCCTAATAACCTGAGTTCTACCCCTGGAACTTACTTAAATGTGGAAGGAGAGAACCAAATGCCACAAATTGTCTTCTAATCTCCACTTGGATGTTGTATCACACATATCACATCACACCATACATACACAATGACAACAAATACACTTTAAGAAGTGAAAAAGGAAAGCAACAAATCATTGTTTTTGGATTTCAAATTTGGTTTCTAAGGAAAAATTTCTGATTTTTTTTTTATTTAGTATTTTTGAAAGGAAAGCAAACATAAATACTCTTATTACCTAGAAAAGGGTGCTTTATGGTAAAGAAGGGGTGACTAAGAATCCCTGTTGGGCGGGGCACGTGCCTTTAATTTCAGCAGGCGGATCTTTGTGAGTTAAGTTTGGGGCCAGCCTGGTCTACATAGTGAGTTCCAGGGCAACCAGGACTACATAAAAAGACCCTGTCTTCAAAAGCACAAAAAACCCCTTGTTGGAGACTGGAGAGATGGCTTAGCAGTTAAGAACATTTGTTCTCGCAGAAGGTCAGGGTCCAGTTACCAGCTCACAACCATCCATACTTCTAGTTCCAGGAGATCCCCCCCTCTTCTCACTACCTCAGACACCAGGCACACATGTGGTGCACATACAACAGATGTGCAGGCAAAACATTCATACACATATAGAAATGTTAAAAAGTAAAATAAAAGAATCCCTTGTTTATGTGGATGGACCTGGGTGGTAGAATGCCTGGGCCTGCACAAGCCCCAGATTCCACTGGTAGGTGGGGAGGGGATTCCAGTGCTCAGCTGGGTTGCACTTTCTTGCAGTCTCTTCATTTAAAGTCGCACTCATAAGCGACTTTTGGCCAAGGATGAGGATCTCTACAATTCTTGTTATTTGTTTGTTAGAAAACTGTGCCACTATTACAGATGCACAAATGAATTTTTTGGATTATTACGGTAATTCATGTAGTTTGATGATTCTTGTTAGTGAATGCAATAGACTCAGTTTTGAGCTTACAACCCTGAAGTCCAGACTCTGAACCTCATGAAAACACAGCAGCATCTGGGAGCATTTCCAGAAACACCAACAGCTCAGCGGCACAGCACGCTGTTCCATGGCTGGGGAGGATGGGCAAAAGTTAAAGAGCAGGAGGAAGCAGCAGCGTGAGATGTTCATCTTTCCTTAAGCAACAAATGCTTTCTGCTCATAAAATTCTAATTCTCCAGCTCTTGTAAAACTTATTCGAAGTGTTATCTAAATGTTTGATTCACTAATTAGCTTCTTTAGCTGTCTTGCATAATTATGTAACCAGGCTTTGCACTTTACTCATATTTATTTTTAATAACATCTCTTTATTCAGATATAATCCACCCATTTAGAGTGTATAATGAGTTGTGCAACCATTACCACAGTCAATTTTAGAACATTTTCATTACCCCAAAAGGAAATCCATTAAGAGTCATTTCCTATTTCCCCCAAAACTCCAGCCCTAGGTAACCACAGATCTACTTTCTATCATATAAATTTGTGTGGCTTTTTGCCATAGACTTCTTATAGCATCTTGAAGGTTCATCAATATCATGGCATATATCAGTACTTCATTTCTATTTGTTTCATTTGTAATATATTTTTAATTCTTTGAGAATTTCAAACATTTCTTTATCCTATTTTTCATGTTTATTAATACTTTGTATATGCAGATGCTTCATTTGCCTGTGTGTCTGTGTATCACTTGCATCCCTGGTGCCCACATAAACTGGAAGAGGGCATCAGATCCCCTGGAATTGGAGTTATAGACAGCTGTGAGCTGATATATGGGTTCTAGGAATGGAACCTGGGTCCTCTAAAGGGGCAGCCAGGTGTTTTATCTTCTGGGCTACCTCTCCAGCCCCATATTTTTATTAATCTTGTTTTTAAGAGTATACCATATTTTGTTTACCCATTCATCTGTCAGTAAACACTTATTCCCACATCTTGATTCATATATACCACTATGAACATACATAAACTAATTTTTGTGAGAACATAAATTGTGTGCGTGTGGCCTGTGTACATGTGTGTCTGTGTAAGAGTTCTATAACTCAGTGTTTAATACTTTGGGGGTACTGACAGCTGCCCAGAGTGGCTGTACTGTTTCACAGTTCAAACAAGTATGGTATGAAATATATCTTATTTAGTTTTGATTTGTGTCTCCTGATGACTAATGATGTCCAGTGTCTTTTCATGCTCCTTTCAACTTTTTTTTTTTTTTTTTTAATTTGGCTGTTTTTCTTATTACGGAATTATAAAAGTTTCTCATGTCAGATAAGATTACAGATCTTTTCCCGTCTGTGGTGTGCAAGTGTTCCATCACTATGTTTAAAGAGTTATTCTGGCTCATACTGTCATTCCATGGTCAGTTGGCTGCATCTCTGTGGGGTTGTGAAGCAGCATCACGGCAGAGGTGGTCTGGGACAAAGGGGACTTTCTCTGAAGATGGCAGGATTCAGGAAAAACTAGAAGCAAGAAAAGATCCAAAGACAGTACGCACCCTCTTAGGGCATGCGCCCAGTGATCTGTGTCCTTCAGGTAGGCCCTGTGTCCTGAAGTCTTTTGCCTGTCCAGGAACCCTTCAGAGGGTTAGCCTTTTTGATGAGATCAGGGCACTTTTAGCAAGATATAGTGTCGTAGTTCAGCCACTTTCCCTCCCAGAGCTCATCTCTGAACATTGCTGCATTGACATCAAACTTCATATCCAAACCGGAACACAGAGCTGTGTTAACTTCCTTTTTGTTATCCTTCAAAGCACACAAGCTAATCTATTTTTTCTTAGTGTCAATAGTGTCATATATCATAAACTGTTGTATGATTCAAACCTTCAAGATTCACACCTGTTTTCTACTGAGTTTTAGGGTTCCAGCCCTGAAGGTTTTGATTACCTTCCCCTGTGTGTGGAGGTGGGTGGGTGTATCTGTGTCTCTGTGTGTGTTCATTCGCACATGCATGACTTAAACCCAAGGCCTAGCAAGGTAGGTGCTGTGGCACTGAGTTGCATCCCAGGCTTGAATTAATTTCTTTCTTAGTTTTTAAAATATGTGTGTCTGTCAGTGTGTTTATGCCACATGTGTATGGGTACCCAAGGAGGCCAGCAGAGGCCTTGAGCCAGCCTTACTGGGCAGCCCACCCAATCAATATGGAAGAGCAGAAGGCATTTTTAAACATCATGCCATCCCCTCAGCTCCTGAGTCGGGTTTTATATTTAAGTCCTTTGTTTTTACCTGTGAGGACCCAATTACACCAGTTTGTTGAAAATAAAATCCTACACTCTTATTGAAAAGTCTTTTCTGGACTCAATATGTATTCCGTTTACCTGTCTGTCCCTGCATTTATATTTTTTTTCCATTCATTCTACATACCTCTATAAGCCAAGCATTGTATTTGACCTTCCCATGATACTGACTTTGAGGAACCAAACTATCCCTTATCAGAGCCCATGTTTCTTTTCAAAAATCTATTTTTTTTTTAAAGCATGATATAACATCCCTTTAAGAGATATAAAGTGATTTCCCATTGTAGCCAAGCCTGTGGTGACAATTGTAACTCCATCTGATTCATACCTGGTCTTTGGCAAGTTGTAATTTGTCCTGCTATACAAATGTTCAGAAGAATTGAAATTGTACAGGATAGCCAGTGACTGCTGAAGATTTTAGGTGGTGCAGGATTGCCCACTGACTGTGCTGAAGATGAGGTTGGTTTTAAAGCAGACAGACACTGACTGCTGCAGAATTTTCCATGTTCAACCCCAGGAGTCTAGCAAGTAAGAATAGGTATTGGCAGTAGTGAGGTCAGAGAGAATCAGAAGGGCTGCTGGCTTCCAAATCTCATTTTAGAAGCAGTTCCATGCTAGCTTAAAGTTACAAAGAGAAAAAAGTGTTTCCAAACGATGGCTTGCTTATTTGAGGGTTTAAGGAGACAAGAATGTTACATGTGGCCTTGGTCTAGGAAGGGGTCATAATTGTAGCATTTGAAGCCAAAGCTTAACAGATGATTATTTAAAATAAAGGTGTTCTCATGTTATATATAAACTGAGTAAACTGAGTGCACTGAGAGGATAAATAACTTATACTTGCAGTGAACAAGGTATAAAGAAATTGTTTTGAAATAATAAACTTTGATTTTGCTAAGCTTGATGGCCAGATATTCAAATTTGATATCTAAGAACTTTCAGTATTTGTTAGACAAAAGTAGGACTGATTTCCTTCCTGTTCATAGTTGCTTAGTCATCATGAAAGCTATATTAGAAAATGAACCATCAGTATCCCTGTTTAATGGTTGGGTGGTGGTTTTGTTTTGTCTCTAAGTATTAAAAATACTGTAGTTGGTCACTGACTCTGATGACTTAAGAAAGGTAGCCAGCTTCCTCAGGTGTCATGAACAGGCTTGGCTTTAAGGCAGGAAAAACAGTTTGAGTGATGACTGTATTGCCAGACTTAATCTATAGCAGCATAGGTAATCTTAAATTGCTAAAGATGGTGTTGATTGTAAACATTTAAATTTGAAAGTTTTGGAAAACATATTATGTGATAATCATCCTAAATTTCTTTCAGGAATCGTGCCATCTTCTGTTGTCCTGACTTCTTTCCAGGTGATGTCAAGAGTTTTTCTAATATGGGCAGTAACACACAGTGTCAAAGAGGTAAGTAAGATAAATGTCAGCACTGATACTAACCAGTGAACTTTTCTTGTACATGTTTGTTATGTCTGAAGACAGAACTCCAGATCATTCTGAAGTAACCAATTTCAAGATTATGTATGCGGTTGCCCCAGTTTATTGTTGCTCAAGAGAGAGCTGAATCGGAGTTGAAGAGCTGCAGTCTCCGTTCCCATGGAGGTCGGGTGGGCACATTTTCAGCCACTCCCTTGTATGCCTTGGTATCTGTGAGCAGCATGTTGGCTTCTGTATCATTTGGAGAGAATGGGGAACACTTCTATTTTCATGGCCTACCAATCTGGGCTAATGGCTCATACAGGGCCTGGGGTCCAGGGAATGGGAGAAGAAAAGCATCATTTCCTCAGGTGTGATCAATGATCAGGCATTGGTTTAGTTCATGTTTTGAGGATTCTGCTGTTCCAGGGTTGGTTATTTCTCATTAATGTTACCTGGAGGTAAAGTATTGGCAGGTACAGGGACTCATCTTTAGCTTACCATTTCTACAATCTGTTGGCATTCCAGGGATTCCCTGGGATTCTAGCAATTGCTTATCTATTAACTTTAATCTTATGTATTCTTTGTTCTTTATTCTGAAATCCCTGCAAAAGTTAGTGTGTGTCAGAATTTATTTTGACAGTTTCATGTGCTTTTTCCCCCAACATTTTAAAAAATTGGTCCACAATATACAGGTAAAAAAAAAAAATACACATAGCTAATGAATTCTTAGTCAAGGTTTAAACAACTTGGATTAATAAACTATCACTTTATTATCTTCACATGGAATTAGCAGATCCATGGACTAATTACTCTCTCATTCCTTCAAGATCTATCTAAATTCACTATGCAGGAGGAATGCAAAATAATTGTGTATCTACTTTTAGTAGCCACAGTTTTAAAAGTTAAAACAGGAAAGTATATTCTAGTATAACATATAGCCCTTTGTTTTCTTTTCTCCTCTCTCCCTCTCCCTCTCCTCCCTCTCCCCCTCCCCCTCCCCCTCTTTCCCCCTCCCCCTCTTTCCCCCTCCCCCTCCCTCCCTCCCTCTCTCTCCCTCTCTCTCTCTCTCTCTCTCTTTCTCTCTCTCTGTCTCTCTCTCTCTGTCTTTTGAGACAGGGTTTCTCTGTATTGCTTTGGAGCCTGTCCTGGAACTAGTTCTGTAGACCAGGCTGGCCTTGAACTCAACAGAGACACACCTGCCTCTGCCTTCTACCAATGCCTGGCTTTTGTTCTCATTCTTAATTGTTACCGAGTTAGAAAAAATGTGTTACTTATAGTACCACATAATGTGTTCACTTAGAGTCCCTTTTACACTTTTTCTTTTTTGTCTGTTTGGGTTTTTGAGACAGGGTTTCTCTGTGCAGCCCTGGCTGTCCTGAAACTCACACTGTAGACCAGACTGGCCTCAAACTCAGAGATTCTCTTGCCTCTGCCTTCCAAGTACTGGGACTAAAGAGTGTACCACCACTACCCAGCCACATATTTTTAATGTATATTTCTTCTTCTTAATACTCTTTTGGTTTTGGTTCTGTTTTTTGAGACAGGGTTTCTCTGTAGCTTTGGAACCTGAACTTGTTCTTTAGACCAAGCTGGCCTCCAACTCAGAGATCCGCCTTCCTCTGGCTCTGAGTGCTGGCATTAAAAGTGTGTGCTACCACTGCCCAGCCTTTTTTTTTTTTTTTTTTTTTTTTTTTGTATACTATATAGTACACTATATTTAATACTATATAAATTTATACCAGTAATTCCTAATTTGCCAGTATTTTCAAGTAACCTGAAATCTTTCCTAGTTGTAATTCAGTTGTATTCTTTTTTATTCCCCTCCCCCTTCCTCCTTAGTGCTGTGGATTGAACCTAGGGCTTCATGCGTGATAGACAAATGTTCTACCACTCAGCTATGTCCCCAGCCATCTTTTTCACATTTTTATTTTGAGGTAGAGTCTTACTAAGTAACTCATGCCATTCTTGAATTCATTCATCCCACATAGACCTTGTACTATGATCCTGGACCTAAGCCTCCTGAGTGGTTAGAATTACACACCTGTACCACTGGGCCTAGCTGCTTACTTACATCTTAAGCGAGCCATTCTGTGAATTCAGTAATGATCTGCAGTATGTGGAGCCAGAGTATTGTCCAGTAGGGATCGCCAGTACAGTCAAATACTGATTATTCAGGTGTGAATACCTCTGCTGCTTCCGTGATGACCACTCTTCTCCTTATTAACATAGCTGCCAAAGCAGGTGGGCAAGCTCCCCAAACTGCAGTTCAAATGAAGGAACTGTTAGAGTCCCAGATTTCCTGGACAGACCATTGAAACAGATTGTCTAAAAGCTATTAAATGTCTTTGTAGATTACAGGTTCTAGACTTGGACATCATCACCAGTAACCACACTGTCTGCCAGATGTGCAGACTTGACATTTAGCAGGTGGTTCCAAATATAATACCACATTTGAGTGTTATGATACTCATTACATATGCATATTCATAACTATTTCTCTGCAGCCAAAGTGATACAGTTTTTGCTTACATTAACATGCCAGTTTCTGAAGAACCTAGTATAGTAAATCTCACCATCTTTTTGTCACCTCTTATATCCTTGTGTTTCGGGATCCTTTGTTTGGTGTACTCTTGGTTAGTTACCTTATTATTTTCTTGAGTAAATAGAGTTCAGCATTTTTGCTGACCCAGGATCTCATTTCTTTGCTCTAGATAGAACTACTCATTCATCATTTTTGTTGATTCCAGGTCATGCAAGCATGCGCACATGCGCGTGCGCGCGCACACACACACACACACACACACACACACACACACACACAGACACACCAGTTGCCTGACAGCTAAGTTGAAGCCTTTTACTATGTTTTTAGGGGCCAGGCTTCTTCCTATCTGTCACCTGTCCCCTTGCCTTAGCCAAATGCTATTTTTCCTGTCTTAAGGTTTCTTAGAAACTGTAATTCCATTTGTTGTGTCCAACATTGCGTATGGCTTCCCTTCCATTTCCTGAAACATCTGAAAAATAGCTGTATTTGTCTTATCCAGCTCTGTGCTGTAACCGTGGGAACCAAGTAACTAATGTATCAGTTTCTGTGTTTCTCAGTTTGTCATAATCTTCCCTAAAGGGGACAACAAGTAATCCACTTGCTTAAAAATCACATTCTCTGTGGGTGTGATTCTTACTCTGCCTTCTGCACTCATTCCTATTGTTTTTGTGTTTTGTTTTGTTTTGTTTTGTTTTTCAAGACAGGGTTTCTCTGTGTAGCCCTGGCTATCTTGGAACTTACTCTGTAGTCCAGGCTGGTCTGGAACTCACAGAGAACTGCCTGCCTCTGTCTCCCAGGTGCTGGGAGTAAAGGTGTGTGTGTGTCACTACTGCCTAACTCCTCTTGTTTTGTTTTTTTTTTTTTTTTGTTTTTTGTTTTTTGTTTTTTTTTCCTGTTATGTGATGTGATGTGCTGAGGTAGAGCTCGTAAGCCTTTTAAAATCTGACTTTTATGTTTAAATGTGCTCCCTCCCTCCTTCCCAAACAAAAACCAGGCTCTAATGCAGTGCAGGCTGACCTCAAATTTAGAATCTGTGACCCTCCTGCTTCCACCTCCCAAGTGTGCCACCACACCCACTGGGTGTTTTAAGAGACCCTATAGGACATGCATCCTCTTAATGCTTTACCCATGAGTTAACAGTGCTGTAATGTACATTGCTGAACTAAAGGTGACTGGAGAGTTTCCTTTCACAACAGAAGGACCCACTCTGCAGCTTGTGACAGACACCACCGTAACAAGGTTGTTGGAAGTATCTTAGGAGAGCCTTGTGGTGCTAACCTTTAATCCCAGCACCTAGGAGGCAGAGGCAGGCGGATCTGTTTAAACCAGGCAGGGATGTATATGTGTGGGGAGGGAGGGAGTATCTAAAGTATACTAAAAAGTTTCCTTTACCTAATGTAGCAAACACCCTCCCTACATTTCCTTTTAAGAGCTATGCATATAAACAAAGAAAAGCTGCAGCACAACAGTCAGTGTGGAGATGAGAAGGGAGTTACCAGAGACAGTCCACAACTCTAGCTGCTGCATTCCTTTGGTGTCTTCCTGACCCAGATCTGAACTGGCTGCTTCCACCTCTGGCTTCTGCTGGTACTTGCCCCACTCTCTGCCTAGGTCTAAGTGTAAATCTCATTGAACTGAGACAGCACCAGGGTCTTTAAAATGAATTGCAGTGGGCAAGATTTCACTTTCTGCTTCTCACTGTACTCCTTTCAGAAACAAAGCCCCCACCAAACAACTAAGTTTGGCCTCAGACTCCTAGACACACAGCAAGACCACTGTTCTGTTCTTTCCTTGACTCAGCCCTCTGCAAAACCCATCTCAAAGCCTGAGTTTTTAGAGTAAGAACATTGTGCTCTTGGGGAGGAAGCCCCAGGTCTTCTGTGAAGAATAGTTGGGGGAAGTCAAGGCTGTTACTTTTCTTTAGCCAAGGGCAGTGGAGCAGCTCTACACTTTACTGGGAGTGACCTGCATAAAATAAAACCAAACACCAGAGATAGAGCCTCAGCCCCTTTTCTTAATGGTTTGCTACGACTGAAGTGATTCTTTGAATCACCCCAGGGGGCTTATTTAGCGCCTCTTTGTGGCATGCTGTTGGGCCTCCTGACATTAACTCTACTATTCTTGTCACTCATCAAGACACTTAAATATATTAAAATCAGTACCCATCTAGGCAGTGATGGTGCACAGCTTTAATTCAAGCACTTGGGAGGCAGAGGTAGGCAGATCTCAGTGAGTTCAAGGCCAGCCTAGTCTACAGAGTAAATCCCAGGACAGCCAGGACTGTTATACAGAGAAACCCTCTCTCTCAAAAAAAAAAAAAAAAAAAAAAAAAAAAAAAAAAGTAGTGTCTGGTGCCTTATTATTTTACTAATTATTGTTTGATACATTATAATTTATAGAAAGCTTTATCATTTGTTCTTGAGGCAGATCGGGCCCTCCCTTA